TCATCGCCAGCCCATCGCCAACGCTGCCACGAGGGCCAGAAACACTGGGCGGCGGCGGGGCGCCGCCACATCTGCGCGTCACCTTGGCGAGGCCATGATTGTGGGTCGCATCGCCAATCCCCGGCAGTTTTGGAGCTCTACTTGGGCGATGTCATACCTTTCTTGACTGTCCAAGGGCCCTGAACAGCCCCTCCTGTGTCGCTTCCCAGAGTGTGCCGCCGGGGCCCGCCATCGCCTCTGTCTGTGGGCCCGATCGACGATGCAGACCACGATGGCACCCTCGAAAGCGCTGCCCGCAAGCGGCGGCCGACCCGCCCAGCTGTCCAGCCGCTTCTTCGCTGGAGCGCGCCTACCGTTTCGCCTGGTCCCTCCCAGCAGCTGTGGCCTCCCGGGAGCGCACCAGCGGCGGCAGCGGCTCAGGCAGGGGCGCGGCGCGGCGGCGCCAGCGGCGGCGGCGCTGCTGCCTCCGGCGGTGGTGTTTGATGCTGCCACGGCGCTGGTCTTGCCCTTCTATGTGGCTATGATCGCCGCCCCACGCAAGCCGCTGACGCAGCGGCTCCTCGGTTCGGGCCCCGTGTTCCTCGCGGGCGCCGTTCTGTACGGCCTGCTGCTGGCGACATGGAACCCGCTGCCGCAGCTGGCGGCGGCGGTGCAGGGCGCGGCGGCCGGAGTCGGCGGCGCGGGCGTGGCCGCCTCGCTGCGCGCCGCGCTGCCCAGCATGCCGGCATTCGCGGCCCTGTTCAGCACTCCTGAGATTACGGTTCTGGCGTGGGTGCACCTGGTACTGCTGGACCTCCTGCAGGCCAGGTGGGGCTCCCCTGCTGCTGCCTGGTGGACCCGCATTTTGCCGCGCAGGCTGCCAGCTGACCATGCTTCCGGCTGCGCTGTCAGGGGTCGGCTGCGGGGATCCAGCAGCCTCCTTCCTCCACCTTCCAGCAGCCCTGAGTTTGTTTTTTTGCCTGGCAGCGTGTGCACACCACTCCACACGCACACACTCACGCACCACACACCAACCATGCCTGCAGATGGGTGTACCGGGACGGCCTGCGCAGCAACGTCCCCATCTGGCACTCCGGTGCGTGGCCAGCTGCGCTGCCACCGTGGGCAGCTCTGGCCTCCACGCTGGCCGACCCCCGAACACGCCGGCATCGCCTGCCTTCTGCAAACGTGTGTGTTTCGCTCCTGCTTTCGCCCCACCAACCACCGTCTCTGCTGCCCGCCTCCCGCCCCGCCTTGCAGCCGTGCTGTGCTTCATGGCGGCCCCGCTGGGCCTGCTGTGCCACCTGGCCACCAAGGCGGCGGTGCTACGGGGGCGGGGGCGCGGCCAGGACCAGGAGTACGTGGTGTACCGCTTCTGATGGGGCACCCGTACCGCTCGAGAGCAGCTGTACCGCCCTGAGGGGCAGCTGCTGCCGCGGTCTGGAGCACAAGCCACAGGCCGCCAGCCCCACCTGCCAACCAAGCGAAAGACCGAAGACAGACCTCACCTGCCACTGCCTGCTGACAGGCCCACGCTCGAGCCTTGCACTGATTCTTTGACCAAGCACCGCACCCACCGTTTTGCCATTTTTAGTTTTGGGGATTGCTTGATATGCCTGCCATTTTTAACCAGCTTGATTCTACAAAGTCATGGGCAGCTGGAAGGGTTCTGTAGATGCGACTGCAAAAACGCCCGCGAACATGAGCCGGCGGCGGCTCCCGGGCCGAGCAACTCTCCCGCGCAGCGTCCCCTGGCGCCGCCCTTGTAAGTCGCTCTGTCGCTGCGTGATAGCTTTAACGACGCTTGCATCTTAAATCAAGAAGGGGAGAGCACTTGAGGGGTGGACCACCTGGTGAGATGGTGCCGCCATCTGGCCCTGCCACAGTTGGTTGGGCGGGCCGCGCCATGGCTGGCTGGGCGGGCGTGCCCGCCCTCCCCAGCCCTCCCAGCCTCCCTCCGGCCTCCATGCCGTCCGGAGGTCCGCCAGCAACGCGGCAGGCGACGTAGCCCCCTGCTGCGACTGACCACAGCGGGCGCCAGGCGCATAAAGGCGCGGGCGCCGCCACTTGCACCTCATTCTCCCCCTCCTCGCCGCAGCTCTCCTGCTGTCTGTGCGGTCCCCCGGTGCCCCACTGTGCCTTTGGTTGCTCCTTCAACACCCCCCCCCCCGCCTCCGCCCAAAGATGGCCGCCTCCACCGCCCTCTGCCTCGCCTCGACGCACCCCATCTCCCCCGCAGGTGAATGCACCACTATTAAGCGTACAGAGGTGGCCCCCTACCTCGCTTGCCAGTCCTCATTGCCAGCAACGCGGCTGCCCATCTCATCGTGCCCCCTGCCCCCTCAACCA